ATCAGTTAATTAAGTGTCCCCCTGTGGCTTGTTGAAGGATTGGTGCAGACTAATTAGATGAGCCTGACACCAGTGGCTTTAATTAAGTTTCCTTGTCTTATGAAGTACAACTTAGACACTTTGATAGGTCTAAATTAAATCCATGTCTTTGGAATAAACTTCTCTTTAATTTTGCAAAGTAGAATATTCATAGTGATATATTTCTTTGGAATAAAGGGGTATTCATAGTTGAAGTTGATGGATTTGAGATACATACTTTTGACTATAGATTATCCTTTGGAAAACATTTTTATCGCACTTTGAAAAAGTGCTATATTGTCGTCGTCTTGTGCTGTTGGGCGGGCGGGCGGGCGGGCGGGCGGGCGTGCGGGCGGGCGGGACATAAAATCTTGTCATCAAATTTCCAGGATAACTGCTTAACTGTTCAACTTGAAATTTTTACAGATGCAAGAGCAGACTAGTACCAAGATCTGATTAGGTTAAGGGCATGCTAGGTAAACTACGTGGCGGCCATTTTGAATTTTTCAACAAATCTTGTCATCAAAATTCAAGGAAAACCACTTATCCGTTCAACTTGAAATTTTTACAGATGCAAGAGCAGACTATTGCCAACATCTGATTAGGTTTTGGGTATGCTTGCTGAATTACATGGTGGCCATTTTGAATTTTTCAATTTGGCGGCCATTTTGAATTTTTCAACTTACTCCAAATTGACCCAATTTTTTTTTAAAAACATCTACAAGTTTTCAGAAGTTCAAATCTGACCTTAGATTTTAGATTTGACATTTCATTCACCTTAAGTGACCTTGAAAAGGTCAAAAAAGTTGATTTTCTAAATTGATATTTTGGATTTAAATTTAGGTCAGCTTAATTACAAAACACCTACTGAGGTCTGAAAAAGTTAAATTTTCAAGGTCAAAGGTCAAGGTCATTAAACTAGGTCACAAATGATGTTATCCAAGTTTCTCAAAGTTTGAGACTACAAATCAATTCTTGACATCAAAATTCCAAGAAAACCGCTAACCTGTTCAACTTGAAATTTTTACACATGCAATAGCAGACTAGTGCCAAGATCTGATTAGGTTTTGGGCATGCTGGGTAAACTACGTGGCGGCCATTTTGAATTTTTCAACAAATCTTGTCATCAAAATTCCAGGAAAACCACTTATCCGTTCAACTTGAAATTTTTACAGATGCAAGAGCAGACTATTGCCAAGATCTGATTAGGTTTTGGGTATGCTGGCTGAATTACACTGTGGCCATTTTGAATTTTTCAATTTGGCGGCCATTTTGAATTTTTCAACTTGCTCCAAATTGACCAATTTTTTTTAAAAAAACATCTTCAAGTTCTCAGAAGTTCAAATCTGACCTTAGATTTCAGATTTGACCTTTCGTTGACCTTCAGTGACCTTGAAAAGGTCAAAAAGTTGATTTTCTAAATTGATATTTTGGATTTAAATTTAGGTCAGCTTAATTACAAAACACCTACTGTGGTCTGAAAAAGTGAAATTTTCAAGGTCGAAGGTCATCAAATTAGTTCACAAACAATGTTATCTAGATTTTCCCAAAGTTCAAGACTACAAACAAATTCTTGTCATCAAAATTGCAGGAAAACCGCTAACCTTGTCAACTTGAAATGTTTACAGATGCAAGAGCAGACTAGTGCCAAGGTCTGATTAGGTTTTGGCCATGCTGGGTAAATTGCATGGTGGCCAGTTTGCTCTTCAAAGTGCGATATTTATCACTGTGTGTCTTGTTCTCTGTATCTCCAAAAGAGAGCATCATACTAGAATTTATTACTGTCTTCTGGGTTTATGAGTAAAAGTAGATGCATATTCTATTTGTGTGCTGCATCTAATAATGGAGATAATAAAAACAACATTTGTATGACATTCAAGAGGAAAGATTCTTAGAGGGAATGATGATGACAGTATTGTCATCAGTGCAGAGTGAGACATTATGTGGAAATAAAAGGAGTTTTATGAGAAGTCATTTGAAGCTCTAATTACTAACAGAGCAACAAAACTACTGATAGAAACATGATAAAAGAGTGAAACAAAGACAAAGTCACCCTATCATTTTATTTTATTAAGCTGCCATTGTGTGAATGTATTGAGCTGAATGGCTTTCATTGTAAGTTCCCTGTTATCATAGATTCAAGTCAAGTTGAAGGATATCTATTTTAATTTCCATTTTAATTTTCTTACTGGCAGCAATAGTATTCTTATTGCCAGCAATGGTACTCCCATTGGCAGCAATGGTATTCCCATTGGCATCACTGGTATTCCTATTGACTCCAATGGTATTCCTATTGACATCAATGGTATTCCTATTGACACCAATGGTATTCCCATTGGCAGCAATGGTAGTCCTATTAGACAGCAATGATATTCTTATTGACAGCAATGGTATTCCCATTGGCATCAATGGTATTTTTATTGACAGTATTGGTATTCCTATTGGCAGCAATGGTATTCCTATTGATAGCAATGATATTCCCATTGGCAGCAATGGTAGTCCTATTAGGCAGCAATGATATTCTTATTGGCACTAATTGTATTATGCTGATTTTATTAGAAGCACTGTGAGCTGCCCTAAAAGGCTCTCCTCATTGAAACTTCAATGTACCTTGTTCTATGTTCATCATGGCAGTATATCAGTCTGAGGCTTTGTGAGCTTAGTAAGATAATCTGTATGCAGGGTAGTGTTCTTTACTATGATTCCCCTCAGGTTATATTGGCTCCTTCATCATCTATAGTTCTTAGAGTCAGTGCTTTAGACTGCAATATATTTCATTGACTCTGTAGAATAACAATCATTTCTGTTATGTGTTACCCTTTGCATTCGTTTGACTTCACTTCTTAAAAGAGAGCTTCGTCTTCACTCTTTCAAACTAAAATAAACCTGTGAACTCACCGCGCCAATCAGTGTTCGTCGGCCAAATTTGACCGACGTTCTATATATGGTCAGTCCTTCTGACGTCGTCGTTGAGCCCGGAATTGACCAATGACACGCGCATATTTAATTAGAACGCATTTGGCGTATGTTTCTTCAAGCTCGCTGATTGGTGGAAGAAAGGTCAGCGCGTAGGTCAAAAGTGATTTATTACCCAAACTGTCACCGGTACCCGTCGTGGGGGTGGGGCTACTAAACTGTAATAAAGTCTCTACTTGGCAGAGTGTAGTTTAACTAGACTCTGCACGCAGGGTAGTTATGTGTCTAAACTAGTAAATAAATTCTCTGAATATCTTAACATAGGTCAATCAATATATGGTTCAGAATTACTAATGCAAAAAATAATTTTACATATCAAATCACTGGTTGATCTAAGAATAGTTTGACTTTTTGTGAAAATAAAAACATTTCCCCAAAATTAGGCCAAAATTCTGACTGGGGGGCTCAATGTAGGACATTCCATATATATATTTTTTTTTTTCAGTATGATATTAATATACTACTGAGGTTATAGTTTTCTTAAATCCCCAAAACAATTATATTTTTCAACCATGCTTATATTTGTGATAAATTGTACAGCATTGCTATAGATACCATTTAGGTCATCTGAGTCAGTATAACACTGTAATATCTACTTGCATTGTCCATGTCATGATTATGGAAAAATTGATACCAGAATATGAGTATTGTATGTTGACTTTCCTGTGTATAAAATGTCTCTCAGGCTTGTTATTGTTATGGAATGGTAGAAAAATACATTGAAATAACAAGTAATGATATTATATCACATGGGTTATATGCATAGTTTATACGTAAGGTGCCAAGAGAGCATCTTTAAAAGTCTTAAACATATGTTCTGATGAATAAAAGTTTGAATTTGAGCAGAGGGTGGTACAGCACACTTCTATGTAAGGCAATTAGCTATAAAAACTGACCAGAATTCCAATCAAGAATTGTTATTACATGGAGAGCTTTTATAAATTGATGTTGATTTTAGTAGCATTGATAAAGGATTGCCATTAATCTATTCAGAATCTAGATTATTGCATTGATGAAATACATTACTGCCTTTGTCCATATAGTGATTCTAGCTTGATGGCCAGTTTTGCGCTAATTATGAGAGATTTAGATTAATGTCCAGTTACTATCAGGAAATATGTTGGCGTGATTAAAGTCCATGCCAAGAATTTCTAAGTCAAAGTATCCTTTACTCACTTGGCAGTTTAGTTCAGTTATCTAGAAAAGCTTTCGGAATTTCTGAGATTTTAGGATATAGAGAAGTGAGAGAGTTATATTTACATAAAAATTGACAAAATAAAAATAGATTAGATCAGATCTGGAAAACAGGGAAAATCATTATTTCATCAAAGAATTGATTTGATATTAGTTATAAAGGTTGATCTAAACATATAGGAACATAGGAATCATATCAATGGAAAAGAAAATTAAGACACAAGGAGAATGTTTAGAATGAGGTTAATTCGTAACTGAGAGGTATATAGATAGGGCCCCTTTCAGCACTTATCTTCCCCCATCTCAAGCAGAGAGTGAGGTAGGGAGTAATTTAGCTCACTATGATTTACACCTCAGCATAGCACACAGCGCAAGTTTATTCTGAGAGTTAGCTCTGTTGAGGAACTATAGAGTAGACATACTAGGAACAGGCTTGAGGTAAAATTGTCTCTCACAGATGGACAATTCACTTCTTAGGATTACAACATCTATCATCTTCTGTGGTGTTAAAATCAGTACGTTTACAATTGACTGATTTCTATTAACTGACAATAGTATTTCACAGTTTCTCTAGGACTATTGAATATTGATTAGGCAGGAGTGAGGATTACATGGATCGGGGTATAGGATTATAGTAGGAGGAAGATAGAGTTGTGGTATCATTGTTGGATTAGGTTACATGTAGCCACTGGCACACACTGACCAGCTCTCTTACATTATATACACACTGAACAACATGGTGACATTACATAGAGCTGCTGGATTTTATTTTATTTTTTCTTTGCTTATTTTCTCTGTCGTTTATTGTTCAGTCCCGACAGCTGCCCCACAGAACATACAGGGTGAAACTCTTAGTGCAAGGAGTATCAGAATAACATGGGAGCCTCCCCCTAGGGACAAACAGAATGGCGATATTACAGGATATAAAGTTCTTTATACTACCGTGGCTAGTAATCAGGGCACGGCTGATGCGGAATATGTAGAAACTTCCCCTGGGAGACTAAATCAGGATATTACTGGTTTGAACAAATGGACTGAGTACAAAGTATGGATGCTTGCCCGTACCAGTGTAGGGGAAGGCCCAGTGTCAAAGCCTATTACTGTTTGGACCGACGAATCAGGTAGGGTTGATTGTGAGAAGGCTTAGGCTAACACTCTAACACAAGCAAGCTGGGATGGAGTTAATACTAATACAGTATGATAGTTAAAGATTTAAATTCATTAATATTAGTTTAGATAGTCTGAAGTTGTGTGTGTGGCAGTAATAGCGGGAACAGACTGTCCTGTCACTCACTCGACATCCCTAGCATCAGTTTTTCTGGCCCTAACCTAGCAGGTTTACCTGCCATAGATGCCTGCTCTTGATTTTCATGCACTATTGAACATTTGAGTGCAACAAACATGTGTCTATGGTAGGTAATATGTTGGAATTGAACTATATTTGCTTTATTTTTTCTTGGCCTCTGGGTCAAGTAGCAGAGGCACTCCACTAGTCAAAATATGATTTATGGAAAAAATATCCTTCTCAATATTGATCCATTTTGCCGATGGTTCATTGTGCCCCTGCATACTTGATCTAAGTTACAGTATTTTAGTGGAATGCTTCTTAATCAAAGCAAATGTATCAGTTACATGATTACAAACACAATAGATATCAAAGCAAATAATGAGTGTCTAATCTATGTAACTGAAAACTTGTTAAATCAACTGATTGTTGAATGAGCACGTATTGAGGCAGTCTCACATGTAGTGATTAACATGAGTCCAGACTGACTCATTACATCCATTCATCAACAAGTTAATCTTTGCATCCTATTGAATATATTGCATCCTCGCTTTGTTTTATTTTACATAGCTATGATTTATGCATGTTTTGATTATTTCGATTTCTATTTTGATAATTCCAAATTGGAATTGATTAAATTGGAATCATATTAAATGCAGTTAGTTCTAGGTTATCAATTTAAAGAAAGTTTTTGTTGAATGTTATCTCCTTTTCAGAGATTTGGTTTTTAATCAACAATTCCATTGATTGAATCATCAAGTGTTAGTAATGAGATTTATCATAAGAGCGTAATAATGGGACAAAATTGCTAATCTAAGCAGGTACCTAGTGATTAACTTGATTCTTGTTATGAAAGAAGAAATGAAATTGAAGCCTGCTGATTAAAAGTGCACCCTATGACTGTTAATACTGTATGTACTCATGGTCACAGAATGACTGATGCAGACACCATTAAGAGATATGAAAGTACCTCTGATCTAAAATAAATCCTGCAATGAGCATAAAACAATCAATTTTCATAAAAAAGATGTTACAAAAAACTTCCTAATTTATTTTTTATTTTTTTGTGTTCCAAAATCGTTCCTAATTTCAGAATACTGAAAATTAATTTTATTTACCAGAATTTGATCTTGGATCTCTGGTAACATATATTATGTTGCAGTGACAGGTCTAAAACACAGACTTACATTCCTAAGTCATGTTCAATATAATCTGCCACATTAAAAACCTATTCCAGACCTGGGCCCTCCATTGTTTACCATTGACCCAAAGTTAATAGCAATTTGCTGTTATCTTTATTCATTGCTTGCTGGGGTATTAGGTTTGTTATTTTGGCCTTGTGTTTCATCTCCTTTGAATAAGCCACCATGTTCTATCATGTTATGACATGGTTTTCATTAATGAACTGTAGATTACTATTATATTATGACATGGTTTTAATTAAGGCGTGTCATTCACCATTTTGTTATGATCCAGTTATAAGAAGTAATCTTTTATGCTTCCCTTGAAATGAAAATCAAAAAGCTTTTTTTATTGAGATTGAAAATTAATACATTTGGTAGTGTTTTGAATTATCTGACATGACACCGAAAATCGAATATTTGTGATCTATTATGTAATTCCTTATTTTTGCAACTATGACTTAAGATAATCTTTAATATAAAGATGCTAATTACTGTTTTGAAAATATTGAGTCTGATAGTCGGACCCCATATCTCACTATAATCTGCCAGCCACCCATGAACATTCCATTGAATACAAATAAAGCACAGCACGCCATTGATTCCTTAAGATCTTCATTTACATGGTTTTGGGAGGTATTAGAGGAGCAATTTGAGGATACTAAACTCGACTGCTAACTCTAATCTCATCTCATTTATATGAGTTCAAACAGTAAGCCCAAAGTGGTTGGAGTAAAGCTTACATCTCAGCCATGTTTTATGTCAGACCAAGCCAGAAATATTAGCCCTGTGTAATATGTTTGTGTAGAATCATCAATGTGGAGTTAGAAATAATGCCCTCATTCTTCTACTTTACTGATCCCCAGATTTTTTAAGTAAAGCAAATTCTACACATTGATTCATGGGACCGTTGTCTTTTGAGTGGTTTTGAGTGAAAACTAAAGAGGGAGATTTAGATATTCCTTAGTCTGGGGTTCTGCATCAAGGTTTTTGGGTCATTATATTTCTAGAAGTGTATAGCTTCTTTGAAAGTTTCAAAAACACAATTGAAGGAAAATATAGGATTTGTCAAAATTCCGACCAACTGCTAGCACCAAGCTGCTTATGTGTTATCCCCTAATATTTCCTCTTTCATGCCAAAAGCCACAATTTCCTTACAGTGCTTTGATTCTAAAATTACCATCTCCATGGTTTTGAATGAAGAAAAAATAAAATGGTCATCCTCGGAAATGAGAAGAAAGTGTAATTCACCTACGCCTACCTAAATTATGTCGCTCCGATTAAATCATAGATTGCTCCAATAAGGCAATGTCGAATGTTCAATTACAAAATAAACATTGCGTTAATAGGCAAAGTAAGCTATGAATTTTCTCATTGGCATGAAGCTTTAAGAAATATCATGTTAGAAAACCTTTATTAACTTCCATTCTCATTCTTTATTCTAAGCATGCAAAGGAGGGTCAGTGGTAGGTCTATGAGGACCTTGATAGCTTACAATGGTGCCAGCTTGGGCTTCGCTATTACCCTGTTTTCAATGAACCAAATTACCCTTTAAAATGCCTGTAATCTCTATTGCATTTCATCTCATAGGGAGGGGGGGGGGTGGTTCTCTAATTGTTAATTTGGGATGATATTCCTCTAATGTCTACTCTATTTCCAACTTCACACATTACCTTTCTTGAGCTTTTATTTATGGCCAGTACAATTAAAAGATGATTGGTATGCAACAATCACTGAAAGGGAGATAAGTTATGTCTCCTCTGTGATTTAGGGGAGACCTATGTTGTATCCTTCACTGTTCAAGATGATGTGTAAATCACTGAAACCTCTCAGCAACTTGAGCCACCTGGAATAATTCTTGTACTTCTTGTAGGGCACCTGGGAAATATCTGCAATGGGGCACCTGGGAATTTTGGGCTGGTGGAGAATAAGAAGTGAATCTGCTTGATTTTCAAATACTTTATTTTTTCAAAATTCTCAAATGTCTAAAATAAAATCTGCAGTGATTTTTCAATTTGATCATTTTACAAATGTGGAAATGAAACTTTTAATGGTTTCACATGTGGATTTCTTTATAAATTAACTTTGTATCCGACAAGTATTATTTAAATAATGGGTAATAGGAAGTTATCATTAATCGAGGGCTGGGGTAAAGTTAGAAGGGAATTCTTATTGCATAAACTTGTTTGTCAATTCCATTTAGGCAAATTGTGTTAGCCTAAATACGAGATAAATATCATAATGAAAATGGCGACATTGATCCATAGTAGGTCACTAATGGAATTACCTTCAAGCATTTTGCTTTTCCTGAAGAACATTAGTGAGAGTTTCTAAAGATTCCTTTTGACATGCTATCATTCTCTTAGTCTCTTTATATCATGTCTTCACTGTCTAATGTCTACATTCAGTCTCTGTTTACGTCCTCTTTACTTCAAAACCATTCAGCTATGATATTTGAGATTATTAGGGAACGAATTCTTGTATTTTCACCTGGAGTGCTCTACATGCCCAAAACTGAAATATCATATGACTTCGAAATTTTTTTTCAATTTGGAAAGATGCTGTCCATTCATAATTAGTTGATATTCTGGCCATGTCTGTTATGTTTAATTGGAACTTAAAAGTTTTTATGTTATCTGATGAGCCCAGGACAGCATCTGTAGAAATATATGTGTCATCAACTCACCATAATTCTGGCTCTCTGTCAGAATCATGCGCTTTTTATTGAAATTGATGAGAACATTCAGCATAAAAGGAAAATGAAGCTTCATCTGTAAGAACTAAACACCTCATATAATTGAGAAAACCCTGTGTCTTCATTCACTCAGGAAACTGGAAATGTGATCTGAATTCTATGATGATGTAAAGGATAAGCTTAAAGAACGCAACAATTACATAGATTTAATGAATGAAATCATCATGATATACTCTTTAGAAAGCTGTATGAATCGATATGAGATCTGACCCATTGATGTTTCGACTCTTCTTAAAAAGTAAAATACTATCATGGATTCTTATTTTATTACCAACAACCAGTATTACATCACAGCAAAATAATATTAATTGATATTTCATTGAAGCAGTTCTTTCCAAAATTGAAATAATTAATATTTATGTCTAATTAATATATGTGACTGTTCATTTCATATATTTCAATATCAAAGAGAGATTGTTTGGAAAATCTAATGGAAATATCCGTTATCTAATAATTCTACAATTTCACTGCATTACCTTGAGGCTATTGTACAATTTACATGACATTTTATAATGATGAAATTGCAAAGTCTCACAGGGAATATACTTTGTCAGTCTAATAACTTGATAAACTTCATATTGATATAGAATTCATTGTACATTATGTATAAGTATCTCTCCTGATATTATTCCATTTGATCATTGAGGTCTCGCTAATAACCTACATGTAATTTCTAAAGACTTAGATATTGATTTGATTCAGATGTTTAGTAATAAATTCAGCAAAACATGTAGAATTCCTTGGTTCAAGCTATGTTAAATTGTGTACTAAAACTGTTCCTAATATATATATATATATAACTTTTATTGACATATAGTATCATAACATGATTACAATATATAATAATGTTAATAAGAATCATTAAGTTGCCAGCACAAAGGGCAACATTTGGAAAACAGAGACCAAGCAGCCATTAAAGAATTTCTGTCTTATCAACTGCAATGTATATCACATAACATAAATCATATATTAATAATAAGTTAAAATATCCAGCAATCCAATATTGTCTAATTTCTAAAAAGAAGTATAATTAGGAAAAATGATTTATTGAGTCATATTAACATTAAAAGATTATTCAAACACATAAATCCACACATCCTCAACATCCCCCCTTAAACCTGGGGGGGGGGTACTCCCATATATTGGCTATATGGGGACGTGCCGCTTAAGTGGGAAAAAACCTAGATGTGGGTCCCATTTTGATGAAAAAATCCCTAGAACTGGGTCTACTTTTTGTAAAATCCTAACAGCTAAAACTAACTGGGTACTGTTTTTGAGAAAAATTGCCGGATGTGGGTATTGTTTTTTGAAAATTACTTTGAAGTGGGTCTATTTTTGAAAGAAAAACCCTAGATGTGAGTCCATCTTAAGAGAAAAAAATCCCTAGATATGGGTAGATATTTTGAAAATATTAGAAAATGATGATTTATCCAGCTTCTTATGCATAAAAATGTCTTTGAGAATGCAATTTAGAAGTAACCCAAACATTTACCATGATGCAATGTAATATTAGACGTATATGATACTTGTAAAGCAATCTTACTATGAAAATATTTAACCAGTAGTAGTAATACACGGGATTGATCATTTATTATAGTACTAAAGTGTTGTGCAATGTTTACAAAGATACAAGTTGGAAACTATTAATCAATTAAGGGTTATCTCATGCTTCATCACTTCTTTCAGTGATGTGCCAATTAGATCCTAGCTGCTGAATCTGGGAACTTAATATCCATAAGTTCACACAATCCAATACCTGGAGAAAATTGTATTGTAGTATATTACAGTATACGTATTATACAGTTTTACATCATGATCTTGATTTGAAACAATTTGAAATATCACCCAACTCTAAAATAGAACTATCTACTGTATTAATTAAATTATTCATTCTTTGACTTTTTTTTTAGACTTTTCATAGCTGGTAAGGGTTTACTACAGAAATGGACTCGCAATGTTTAGGATTAGTAGCAACTTACCATTTTCACTTAATATTCTCTTTGAACTTCAACAACTTTGGTGCTAATATTTACCAGTAAACATGTCATAATCTCAATGTTATGAATGAGTTATCTCTAAAGCTACATCACAGTTTAACACCATGGTAACTCGTGTATACAACAATGCAACTCGAGACTTATCTCCTCAAATAGCCTCAAAGCTCCATCTTAAAACAGCAATGTAGCTTATGTCATTTTTATAATTTTTTTCTTTAATGGATGGATCATTCCAGTATTCTGCCTTTTACAAAAGTTTGGAAGAAAAGTTAAATCAAGTCTTTTCCAATCAAATGTATTTCCTGGAAAAGTAATATACCATTACTATACGGGTTGCAGTATGAATATTTGATATGCCGTATAATCCATAAAGCGCCATTCAACCAGTAATCTTTTGATTAAAAACTCAAAATAATTGTGATTAATATCAACAAAAATATGTTATTATAATGCATGCACTAAATCATACTATGGAGGGAAGAATGTAATTTTCTAGCTGAGATCCCTGCGATTAACCGCTTCACTGACCTCTTAATCTAGCCAAAGATTATCCCCAAAGTGACTTCCCTCTGATCAAGTTGGAATAGGGAGATTCATTGTGAGATATATCTCATTTTGGCATGATTGAGTCGGACACAGCAATCCATCAAACATGGAAATGTCCTTCATGGTAGTCCGGTTTTAGATCTCCAAAATATAGAAGAGATATTGAAGTAATTTTATGTCAAGGCTGCCCGCCTGAAATACCCCAAATTGTATAGCTACACGGGAAAGTTAATTGTATGAGAAAATGTGTGACATTATTTTGACTGTATATTCAAACGGAGGAGGTCTCATCGTGCCACCTATCATCATACTTGATGGGACGAAATGATGATGATGATTTTGACTCAGCTTGAATATTGTTCCAATTTCAAATTAAGTGTCCTCCTTGCTTTCAATCATTTCCAATAAATATGATGTGTATTTTATTTATGGTGAAAAGTATACACACAAACAAACACATATCAGAAAATATTTTAAACAGAAATGATAACTAGAGATCTAACGATCTAAGATTGCAAGCAATCTTACGGAGGCCCCGTAGATACCACAGTTTGTCACCTTATTTGATGACCTTTGACCTTAAAAATTGTACTTTTTCAGAGCTCAGTATGTCCTTTGTGATTAAGCTGACCTAAATTTGAATTAAAAAATCATTTTGAAAAATCAACATTTTTTTACCTTTCGAAGGTCACAGAAGGTCAATTAAAGGTCAAAGGTCAAATCTGAGGTCAAATTTGAACTCCTGAGACTTTGTAGATGCTTTTTAAAAAAATATTTGGTCAATTTGAAGCAAGTTGAAATTTGACCTTCAAAATTTTCGAAATTTGACCTATTTTCAGTTCTTGAGCTCTTATATCTCAAAACTGGTGCAAAATTTAAATAGATAGTCAATTGCTCATATGTGAAGTACCTCTAGAGGAATAGATATCCTGACTTTCAACCAAAAATATTGATTTGTAGTCTCTAATTTTGAGAAACTTAGATAGCACAGTTTGTTATCTAATTTGATGACCTTGACCTTTGACCTTGAAAATTTTACTTTTTCAGAGCTCAGTATGTCCTTTGTGATTAAGCTGACCTAAATTTGAATCCAAAAAATCAATTTGAAAAATCAACTTTTTTGACCTTTCAAAGGTCACAGAAGGTCAACTAAAGGTCATTGGTCAAAACTAATGTCAGATTTGAGTTCCTGAGATCTTGTAGATGCTTTTTAAAAAAAAATTTAATCAATTTAGAGCAAGTTGAAATTTGACCTTGAGAAATTTCAAAATTTGACCTTTTTTCAGTTTTTCAGTTCTAATATCTCAAAACTGGAGCAAAATTTTAATAAATAGTCAATTGCTAATATGTGTAGAACCTTTAGAGGAATATATATTCTGACTTTCAGTAAAAAAAATTGATTTGTAGTCTCCAATTTTGAGAAACTTAGAAAACACAGTTTGTGATTTCATTTGATGACCTTGACCTTTGACCTTGCAAATTTTACTTTTTTAGACCTCAGTGGGTCTTTTGTGAATAAATATACCTAAATTTGAATCCAGAAAATCGAGTTGAAAAATCAACTTTTTGACCTTTCGGAGGTCACTGGAGGTCAACCAAAGGTCAAAGGTCAAAAGTAAGGTCAGATTTGGAATCCTTAGAACTTGTAGATGAGTTTTAAAAAAAAATCTGGTTCATTTGAAGCAAGTTGAAAAATGACCGATTTTTGCCGATTTTTGAAATCAAATATCTCAAAAACGGTAAAAAATTAACGCGTACATATAGTGAGCAATTTGTAGAGAATGCTTATATCTAGTTACATTTTAATTCATCGCAAGAAATAATGAAGTATGAGGACGAAATCTGAGAAACTTAAAAAAAACTTAGATTTGACCTAGATTTTGACCTTTGACCTTGACCTAGATATGAACTAATTTCCCGACAAGTCCAGCGCATGTCCCTAGTAGGAGCATATAAGAGTTAATTCAGACCTAGCTAGAAGTAGGAGAAAAAGTGCTAAAAAGAATAATAAGAAGAATAATAAGAATAACTACAAAAACTATAGGAGGCCCCCTGGAAGGGCCTCCTAATAATCAGAGTAGATGATACATAAAGATCCAACACATTCAAAAGGGAAATAAAAAAAACAAAGAACGTTAACATGAGATTTCGATTACATTCTACAGGATTTAATTTGATCACATGCATTAGAGGAACTGCGTGTATAAAGGGCACAGTCTACTCAGTAATTAAATGTCATTCTGTGACCAATTCTACTAATGGTGTCTCAGTCAGTTTGCATAAGGTGTACTTTTAACATTATTGCTTTCTGAAGTCAAAACCTAGAACATTACCTCTCTTATTGAAATCTTCCCTGATTTGTTGATAGGTATCCAGTATTTTATAATATCACTTATACCTCTATATGTTTCTCATAATCTCTGTACTTTTCAGTCCCTGGAGAACCAAGAAAAGTCAGAGTAGAGGCCATCAACTCTACCCATGTTCGGGTAGAATGGAAGCCCCCATCTAATCGTGATAAGAATGGCATCATCCGTGGCTACCAAGTTCACTGGGTCGCAGTGAATGAACACAAAGAGCCGATTGGTCTTGCCAACATTCATACAGTGATGAATGCCTCCCAGCACTTTGCGATTATCTCCAAACTTCAACATGACACAAACTACCAATTCCAGGTTGCTGCCTATACAAGGAAGGGTGATGGCCAGAGGAGTAGGGGACGTACCATCAAGACAAAAGGAGCAGGTAAGTGAATATGTAGTCAGTCTTTATTGTACTACACTGTTGTATCTGTGAATGGGTTTTCAATGAGTGATGTGGACTGTGGATCATATTTGTTAAGAGGAACATGTACTATGGTATTTTCTTGTGTGTTGATACAATCTTGGACAGTCAAGAATGAAGTAATCCTGCAGAGAGAACTGAATGAAAGAAATCATAGGAGAACCAGTTTCAAAGTGACCTTCTGAAGTTAATTTTAGTATTTGATGTCAGAAGTAACGTTTGAGGCTTGTGTATTGCTTCAACAGGCATGTGTGATGTGTTGTAACGCATAGGTGTGAACCTTCCACTTTGCTATGTAGAGCTATGTATGTAACTTCAACATGTCTACATGTAGTGTTGGGCTGGCTTCATCTATTCTCATTATTCATTTTTCGTGTCAGATTCTTGACCAGCCGACGGCGTGGAATCTAACACATCTTTGATGGAAAGATTGTATCATATGGTATAAGCTCTGGTTTTATTATTAGGTGCTAAAGGATGTTCTTATATTTATGTGGTTTTGTGAATGTTTTAAATATGATTGTTAGAAGTATTTTTCAAATTGTGATTGAATTTGTGAATCAAATGGACATAAGGTACCATTGCTAAAGATAGGTTTGCAAACATGGCTCAATATAGAATTGCTGACTAACTTACTTTATCACAACCCCATATGTTTCATAGGGTTATTATCTTCATTTAGTGATACAGTTCTAGGTTTAATCTAGAATGCCATTGGTAAAGTTGTAGATTGAGCTTGCTCTTGTGAGCATATGTACATGTATTCATGTACTTCAGCATAGTACTATAGTATAGGTGTTCAAATTGCTGAGATTCCAAAGTTGTATGTCCCATGAATATTTGACAAAATTGCTGCTAATGCTCAGAAAATCTGAAATAGATTACTGGCATTTATACCATCCCTCCCTATTATCTAAATACAATCTCTGAGTCTCAAGCATTATACATATACTAAATGTGGTTAGGATATACTCTCTCAGATCCTTTATCGCCTGCTCCGCCTGCCCCCGATTCAAGTGACTATAGCAACCATAACTTTTTTCTTCAAGGGCCTATTGATTATAACTTTGGATCTCAATGTATGAATAGTGTAGGTATACTGAGTGAAAATATCAGCCAGATTGACTGAGAGACAACAGTTTTAGAGCACTTTTGCAAGAACTTTATGAACGCCCTGTACAGTATGTGTGAGTTGAAATCAGATGTATCAAAGAATTTTTCTGTTTATTCTGTTAAAACTACACTAAGTAGTCTAAGTCAAGATGAACAGTTATGAATAGAGAAACCTTTGACTTTATGTAATTCTGTAATCAGTCAGAAAGAGTCTTGTTTATAGTAAATGTATTTTAAAGCCCATTTGACATTACAATAATGAAGCTGAAAGTTTCAGCACACAGAACACAGCTTAATTAACACGAACAGATCAAATGTGATGTGTTTACTCTCACTTTGATGGTATTTCCATGAAATTATGGGCAAATGGTTGATGTAGAGAAGGGAGTGTGGTGGCAAGAAGTAGGCACTGAATTCTGTGTGCAGTATACATAACAATGCAAAGAAATTCAAACGATTCTGATTAGTTTATGTTTAATGTTGTTCATATTTATGGAGCAACATGAAGAAATAAGCATGGATATAAATATAAATTGTCCCAAAAATCAAAGGAAATCAGGTGGAATTAACATGATAAAAGCCAATCATCTTGAACCATTATGATTGAGAAAATCAGAGAATAATATTGAGGATGAGTCACCGTTTCTTATGTTCAATCATGTTTTGACCATTAGTTCAATCTTACATGGCCAATCAATCACTTTGAACTTTCCCTACGGAGGAAGTACAAGACAATCAATGAAGAAAAATCAATTATTCTCCAAAAGTTATAAACATGTATAATTCAAAATTATTATTTTTCATTCCAGTGTGATTCTATTTTTCATATTGTACCTTGAATCTGTATTTCTCTTGATGGAAACCTGAATATTGCATCTTTTCTTACAAAGCATGTGTTTTAGCTGTATTGGTCTCTTTCTGATCCTTAAAAACTGATTTTGATGGTGTTTATGAAACCCAATCGAATATGCCTGCCAACCATCTGGAAATTGAGATACCTTAATGTAAACATTAGAGAGCATTAAAACTTTTCTGAAATCTAAAATCTAACCACAGCTCAACTTCCGACCATATTATTTCAGAGCTTTTATATTATATTTTAGCTCCCTAGTGTAATTTAGAGATATCTTGCTGGGTTTGATGTGGTCTTGTGCATGTACTCTGAAAGAATTGTTTAACAAATGTGATATTTAAGCAGATGAGCTCAGTTTCTATCTATTTTTGGTTCAAGCTGATGGCAATGCCACATCTTTGAGCTAGAGGCCTATATTTATGTGAAAACAACATAAGTAGAACTTGAACAAAATGAAAACATTAAGGTGTTTTCTAGATTTGCAGTGTTATCAATAGCCAGTGTGCTTGAGATTAGTAAAAATCCAGGGACTTTGATGCAATGAAGAGATCATACACTGGATATTATGGTAATGTTTCAGTATCAAATAATAAGTGCTTACAATTACTGATGAGTTTTCTTTAGGTTTAATCTATAGCCGATGATACTTTTAGTGTCTGGGTCTGTCAGGCAATCTGTTAGTTTCAGTATAAATTATCACCACTAACTTGCAGTGCATTTATGCTCTAAAGTATTTGAAATTATACTCAAGCGTACTCACAATGTGAATGCACAAATGGCAACATTTGAAAACTCACTAAGATTAAGTCCCTATAAGATAAGAATTATTATCTCCTTTCAAATGTATATCATTATGTACATTTAACCTCACATCATGGATAAATAATACTCATCAAAACCATTATTGTTGGCTTATCCCGATTGAGAGGGGGCTGAAGAGATTGTAATAGAGAGAATCCCAATTACATGGATTACAAAAACAACTTTGAATTGCTTCACAAATTCCCAAGTGTGTTTCATCTAAGTTGAATGTAGGAACAACTGTTTTTGATGATGTATAACACTCATTGAGGGTTACTCATTAAATCTTGGAATGGATTACTGCATTGTTGATGTGCTGTCTACAAACAGGTAACCCCTGTATTAAGTATTTTATCCTCATCTATAATGTCTCATTAATTTGCATTTTTCCTACAATGTTGCCTTTGTGAAATATAATGGAGATTTGAATGTAAATATGGGTAAACAGGTATAATATAAAATACAATGTTGAGAAATTCTAGCTTTGGTTCTTTGGGAGGGAAGACAGTTTTAGCTGAAATGATCCAGGGTAAGTGACTCATATACCTTTAAAGGGTAATTCCCAAACAAAGGTTTTCTAAAACATTGCTTTATTCATTGTGTTCATACCCGTTCTGTTAAATCTCTGATTGTTTCAGGTACCTCGTTGGGATATGTGTTAGCTTGAAGGTCATTAAATTGCTGTCCTTCCCTCCATATACTATTATGTTGCCCATATTTTACTAATTTAGTAATTCTTAAAGTAGCAAGCTGTGTTATGTCGCTGTGTACCAGTTGTTGAGGTTTTTACAATTTCGTGACATATACTTTAGTAGCAGAGTAAATGCTGGCAATTAAGTTTGTTAGTTCAAGATTTATTTCCAAGAGACTGGAGACAGCTGATGGGAAACGATATTTTACTCCATATGAATATGCATTCTAGTCTTGGGAAAGAATAACACTTCTAGTCTTTTATGTTATGCCGATATAGTCATGTTCTTATGATATAAGGGTAGAATAGAGTGTTGTTCTAGTATATTCAGTCGATTCTTTCAATCAGTTTATTCAATATTTCTCTCAGAAGTGCAAGATAATACCCTGCGTGCAGAGTCTAGTTAAACTAAGAAGACGAAGCTCTCTTTTAAGAAGTGGAGTCAAATGAATGCAAAGGGTAGCAAGATAAGCATGTGTGTTACTTTACACAGAGGAACAGATTCAAAATGTGTGACTAGTATGTAGTTTAAGGAAGGGTAGATTATGTCTGTTACAGAGTTTGATCATGCCATTACCCTGTCACAGGAAGAGATAATCTAAATTAGATCTGAACCAATTTTGATTTTCATTCAGAGGAGAAGGGGTACACACGTTTCCACAGAGAAATGATATCAGTTCTGTCAAATATGATAAATAAACCAATGTTCCTAAATGTGATCTGAATGCATTTGATCTTATTTGTTTCTTCAAAAACTGTTATTTTGTCATCTTCTGAGACACTTTCTTGTTCATTATACAGATCATGTTTGATAATGAATGTTTTTTATTCCTACTGGGATTTGATTTTAGGAATACTATACAGGGAATAACTCTGGTTATTCACATTACTTGATATATTGAACCTTGGCATGTCAACTGTTATAATAGTAAGGCCACGTTTCCTATGTTGATAACTATCTATTTTCTATTTTCAAGTATTTTATTGCTACAGATATTGGGAAATATATTTTGACAAACCTTTTGAAGGTATTGCTTTATTCTGACTTGAATAAACTGCATCTTCGTCCAAAATAGTCACTTAATTATCTGTGTCTTTATCTGTGTTCTTCAACCTATCTTTAGATTACATCAGTTTACAAGCTGACCGATTAATCAGCAAACTTATTCAATTCCCAAATAGTGTTCTAAAATTACAAGGATCTCACCAAAACAAGACAAGAGTGACCTTTATTGACCTAGCTCTGGTTCCTTTGACCTAACTCTGGCTTGAGAGAATTACCTGGACCAGCTCAAATGTCCTTCTTTATTATCTTTTGGAAAACATCAAAAGTTCTAAAATCTGCATCAGACCTTTTATCTGCTTGTTCAGGTCACTTTTAGTTAGATCTTCCAAGTAGAATCATAAGCTCAAAGTAAGAAGTGTGTCTCTAATGACTTACAATAGACTCAGTAGATTGATTACTAGGTGAAGTGACTTTAAGGCATCATCAGTTTGGTGCCT